TCTCTTTTGTGGCCCCTGTTTCCATCTCTAAACTCACCACAGCCTGGGCTCATGTTTCCGTCTTGTCTAGGACTAAGCAGAGTTCAGAGGTCAAGTGTCATGTGATTTGGATGTTTAATACACACTGACGTGCTCCCTAAGCTGCTCAGGACCAAAGCATGAGGTCATGCGACCTGCCAAACACATTATACCATGGACTCACACACAAACACCCGAGCCTTGATTAGATGTGAGCTGCACGTGAGGATTTCGGCTGTAGCCAGCTTAAAGGCATTTATCTCTCAGCGAATGCGCACACATTAGTGTACGCATATTTGTGCACTCATGAGCACTGCTGCCTTCAAAAAAAGGCTGGGAATAATGCGATTTATGGTTCTATTCACCTGTTGATAACTTCCTTCCTGGGCCTCCATGCTCAGAAAGTCCTGCTCTCTTTATTTGAGAAGAAAATATGAGCTCATATGCGAACACAACAAAGAAAAATGGCCCTATGGCTTCCCTGTGATTCAAACACAGGGAGAACTTTTCCATATCAAAAGGAAAAAGCATCAATTAAAATTCACTCTCATGGTGGAGCGGCACAGTCTTTGGAGAAAGAAACCCAACTGCAATCCAAAAAAAGATCAACTACAACTTCTATCTTGCCTTTGGTCTTTGACAAGCCCAGGCATTTCCTTCCATTTCAAGAAGTGAACACTTACGTAATGCATCACTTGAAATAACACTTTGAAATCGTGCATAGCATCCCATTAATCATGACCAGATTATAAAAAGGTTACAGGCCAAGTACAGTGAAAACAATTGGCCATATTTGTGCCGTAGTCTTTAGCAGATGATGACTTTCTGAGGAAACTATTTCAAAAACATATTTCTCCCCTGGTACCCTGTAACAAGCTCGGACCTCTCTGAGTTACTAATTACGAAGGGTCCAGCATTGGTCACATGCTGCAAATGCTAAAAGGTATTAAACAGCCACGGGTTTGATGTGCCTGTTCCGAAAGCCCAAACAACCAGTGAATATACATTTTTCTTAATCTGTGTGTTTGCCACATTCTTTATACTCTTTGTTCTGTTCAGATTGATGGATTATGTTAACATTTCAATAGGATTTATTTTTATTCAAATTTTGAATGCTCATGTTAAAACTTACTAAAAATGTAGGCAAAAAAAAAGCTTTTGTTTTCAACTCTTACTTAATTAAAGCCAAGAGTTGACATAAACTATGCAGATACCATCTTTCACACCATATAAACACCCTTTTTTTCCTGATCTCAGAGCTGAAGAAGCCTTTCCAAAGAGAGGTGAAACGTCTTCAAAATTGAAAAAGAACTCCAGAAGCTCTTTAGATTTAAGAGGAACCTGAGAATATCAGTGTCATCATCTGATTGTAATTGTCCTTTTGTAACGATTTACCTGCCTCCCGAGTCAAAGCACAGCATGGGGAAAAATCCTGTCAGGTTTTATTGCATTTGGGAAAACTGATGTTTTTCTTTGTTTTTTTTGGCTGCCTCAGAATCAACTTGCTGGTGTCTCTGATTCAGAACGGTTGGGTTGAACAGTGATAACTCACAGACAACAACCATCTGCCCCAGCTGTTATGAAATAGAGCAGTCCAGCACTCCCTCCAGTGTCTGCAGAGTTTACAGCATCTCAGGAAGGACTTGCATCCATTGGCCCATCCGGTGCCACAGCAACATGGAATGTAATGCCACTCAAAAAGAAATGGTCAATTTACCTTGGCTTTACATCTGTGTGCTTTGTGTTAGAGACAATAAAATACTATTTGAAAAACACAAGTTCATATGATAAGGTTATATTATATTATTAAGATATATTTTTCTAATCAATAATACATGCACATTGTCAATGTTATCAAACCAACTGAGGTGCACAGACCCCAAGTCCTAAAAACTGCGCCATAACATTATTGTTCTTATAGTTTAGGAAACTACACAACCTTGTTAATTACTTAACTTAACAAGTGAAACTCATTTCTGCTCAGAACTCAACGTTTGCAAGCATTAGTGAAATGTGTCATATGAGAAGGTCTGTTGATGTTAATTGAAACATTTCATATTCGGTTAAACTTAGAGTGCTTGTGTCTTTTCTTCTCTCTCCTCTCACATATGGTCAGCTACATGCACAGTGGACTGACATTCCCTGTTTTCACTCCAGATAGCAGCATGTTTCTGCAGCCATTCTGTTGGGTCACACAAGGACAACAGTTCTTGTCCTGAAAAAAGACACAGTGTAAAATCCCAGCGTAACTCTTTGTGATGCTGGCTCCAGATTAGAACATTTTGTCCCAAACGTCTCTTTATCTCACCTCCCCCTCCCTCTTTCTCAGTTTTTGGCCCCTCCCTTTCCTCCCTCCCTCACTCTCCGGTGTCAGGGTTATTTCTGTGTGTGTGTGTGTGTGTGTGTATGTGTGTATATGTGTGTGTTTCTTTCATTAATGTTTGAGAGCAGCATAGACAAATGCTGATTTTCACTTTTGTATGGTGTCACACAAACACGTGTAATTTGGAATTTGTATTTCTCTAGTTCTGGATCTCCGTACCAGCTCTAAGCAAACATACGTCTGTCTGTGTGTTCTTCAGCAAGTATGACGTGAATCAAGACCAGACTGGTGGTGTGACATCTCATTAAAGAGACAGAGCCACTGCTGTCTGTGCCAGCAGCAGCACAGAGAGGCTCTGCAAGCTGAATGCCTGAGTCTTTTTTTCTTTTTTCTTCTCTCTTCTTTGGTTGGAATGAATACCTTTGGTGCATTGTCTTTGATTACAGGTGTTATGATAAATCTGCACACGTGTGTCCTATATACTGGCTAGCACTGGCCAGTTTTTATACAACGCCATATAACTGATCCATTCCACTATCTATCCAAGTAAAATGGGGGAATAGGAAAGGAGATGAGAAGCAATTATCCTACTTTCCCCACTTGGCTATATTTTTAGTCCAGGCAAAAGATCCGTGGTGAAAAAGATTCTCAGGAGTTGAGGAGCACTTTTACGACCAAGACAATTTACACCCTCTTTATGACCTCTCTACCTCCATCTTTCCCCAGCTGCAACACCCACTCCCATACTCTTCCTCGCATTATCCTCATATCATCTCTCTCTCTCTCTTACTCCTCAGGTGTTGAGACAGATATGCATACAGGATTGGACATCTGTGGTCTGGGTGCCCTATGCAGTAAATATGTCTGTTTTCGTGCTTTCACTGAAGCACCAATAGCCTGGGGTTTTGTGAAGAAGGATTTTGCTGCCACCTGCTGGGCAGCTGCAGGCATTTCAGATCCCGTCTGTTCCAGCCTCCTTCCTGCTGACTATAGATTTCAACGTCAAACCATGTGTGCTTTCAGAATTTCTTAATTGCTTATTGATTTACTTTACTCTAGTCAAATTCAGCACAGAGGTCTTCTCATATACTTTATGGAGACAGCAAAGAATTTCTGTTCAAGCCAAGTCACTGACAGCAGTGGTCAATTCAAAATATGATCTGTCCTTGATTATGGCATTACATGTGATGCATGCTCATGAGGATTAATTCATTTAAACCATTGTGTGCACATAGGTTCACTTTGATGCAGAGTAAACTTAAAACAAAAAAAACACGACTATTTTCTTTAAAAGCAGAACTTTTGATAGTTGATTTATTTGATTCTGCCAAGTGTCACACGCATGTTATCTTTTTTTTATAGCACATACCGATAGAGAAACCCAACTTAACCTTATATTGAACTTTTACAGGAGGCTAAGCTTTATCTTTTTCTGTATGTTCCTCAACTATCTATTTGCGCAAAATGAAATAAACTGGTGCGTGGAGTCACTCGCTCACACAGATGAACATGTATCATATGTTCATATTGTTGTTGATAATTTACTATGTAAATGGAACGATTATTCACAGCAGGCAAATCTACTCCATGTTCACCTGCTGGTTATAAACACGCATGCAAGACATTTCATATAAAATGACATATGGAAAGAAGGTAAATCATCTCTCTGAATAGCATGAAGTCCATCAGTACTGTGTCACTGAGGGCATTGTGCTCCCTCCTTGTACCTGCCACTGTCTGGCTTATTATTATGGTCTGTCTGGCAGGCTGCCTGGGCGGTGGTCTCGCAGTGAACTTGATACTGAAATCAGCACCCAGCTGTGATCTGTAGAACATCAAGGAGGCTGGAAAGCTCATTCTGGTGCAAAGGTAGTCACTTAGCACTTGTCAACAGCTCTAATGAAAGTGACCTTTTCCTTGGTGGCCTCTTTTTCATTAGCAGGGTCAGAGGTCGCCGCCCAAAGCTGGTTATTTGTCGATCCAAAAAAGAGAATGGTTTAGAAAGAGGCATGAGGAACATATATAGAGAGGGGTATGTGAGGACACGGGGGGGGGAAGGGGACAAACATTTGTATATTCAGCTTGTTTTCAACCAAGGTATTTCAGAGCTATAGCATGAGGCGTAATTTGATTGGGTAATCTCATCATGAAAGTCCACAAAGTCCTCACAACATCTCTAAATGGAAAGGGTTAAAACTGAAATCTCTTCACTGACTTTTCCCATTCATGGGTTACAACCCAACTCAAGGTTTAATCCCCCTTCCTTTCATTCTGTTTTCTATTATGTCTCGCTGAACACAGATGTGGTGCGCAGAGTGAGAGAAAGAGAGAGAATCGGCTAACATCCCTCTCCTCTCCTCTTCCCCTTCACCCCGGCCTCTTGAACATGAAAGGGGCCGCACAAGGCCAATGGATGGCCGGTGGGGTGTGTGCTATGCGAGGGCCCCAGACCCAGACACAACACAACACACAGCTCTGCAGGCCACCACAGCTGGACTGGAATGTGACCTGCTTCAGACTTTAATGCCAGACAAGGGCCTGTGTGTGTCTGCGTGTGAATTGCATGTGGAAGGCGGTGGACATGGACTGAAGGACATCAGATAGAAAACAAGCATGATCTGACCACCAGTGACCTCTGACAAATTGTTTTAGGGCTCTGGTATTTTTCCTCCAGCAGAGGAAAGAGATTAGAAAGGAGAAGTGAAGGGGGTACTTTCAGAAGTGCCTTTATTCAGCAACAAGTAAAAGCTAGCATGGATGAAAATTTTCTTTGTTCGGTATGTAATTGGATTAACAGCGATACATTATTCCTTTGTACTATGTATTGTTACTGGCCAAGGCCCTACCAAAGGTCAAGAAAAATAATAAATATGAAATACACAAGTCCACATACAAAATTTATATTGTAAAAGAAAACTTATCAAAAACAAATTCCACAAAAAAAGTAATAAAAGAGCTTATTTGATTCCTGTAGATAAACTGAGGCTTCACATTGCATAACTGAGAGCTGAAGAGCTCAGAACAGCTTTGAGATACCCATCAAAACATTAAAAACATATACTAATCACATTAGAACACATTAGATAAATGAATGATATTAGTGTATTCAACAAAACATTTCCAAAGGCAAAGAAAATATGAGACAAATTCCTTTTGTGAAAAGGTTCTTCTGAGTTGTGTGAGGAGAAACGAGATGGAAAACAACATGAAACAGAAAACAAAACTTCCAACAGTACAGATAAATTAGCTTTGTGTTTCCTGGCGGTCTGTTTGACTGCTGAGGTCACTGAAACCTGGAGTAATCTGACAAAAAAAAAAAGAAACACTCTGGCTGAGTTTTCATGAGCACCAGTCTACTGGGCAGCGGAGAAATCTTTGAGGAAATCGCAGGTTTTCTTGTGGATGACCTCGCGCAGCTTTCTGATTCTGCGAGTGCTGGAGGAGCCCACGAAGCTGTCCGGCTGCAGGACCGCCATCCCGTTGTGGACGTCCCCCATGATGATGAGCTGCCCGTCCGCTATGGTGATATTTGGACAGGGGCAGTTCCAGTCCATGTTCAGAAGAGTCACCTCCAGCGGCTCCTTACCGAAGAACCTCAGGCCCATCTTCTCGTCCTTCAGGATCTCCTCCACGGTCACCAGAGCGTGGCCGGACTCCTGCTCCTCGGTCATCTCCGTCACGCGCCCCAGGATGACAAAGTCGCTCTTGCAAAAGCTGGTGACCATCTTGCCTCGGGGCTTGCATATCTTGCAGTTGTGGTTCTTGGGAAAGGGACACATCTCTTCGCAGGCTTCTTTGGACTCGAAGTTGTTTTCGTTCCCACCGCAGCCTCCAAACACGAAGGACTGGCACTTTTTCAGGCTGCTGCTGTAGGCCCAGCGGGGCTCGTAGGCCTTGCAGGGCCCCTGTAGGCTGGGCAGGCTGCAGGGCGCTGCCAGCTCTCCTCCGCACGACAGCATGCACGCTTCATAGGTGTCGAAATGGTTCCGGTTTTTGTTGCACTGACTGTAGGTGAAGGTAAAGCAGTTGTTCCTCTTCGGTTCGTAGTACCAGCTCATGCTCTCCTCTCCACAATCATCGGTGTCTGGACTCTTCAGGCACTCGGCGGGCGGAAAAGGCAGGTTGGTGCTATTCCCGTCGGCATTTCCATCTTTCGGCTCTCTCTTGATCACCACCAAGGGAAAGTGTGCCGACACGCTTCCTCCCACGTTCCTGGCTGTGCAGGTGTAGATTCCAGCGTCCTGAAGCTGGGCGTTGTATATAACCAGCTGGCCGATGTTGGTGACGACAACATTCCCTTGCACGTGATTGGGTCTCATTAATACATTGTCCTTGCTTTTCAGTTGTTTCTCCCAGGTGATTTCGGGCTGCGGCTTTCCAGACACCTCACACAGGAAGCTTGCCGTCTCGCCCACAAAAACGGCCTGTTTGGTGGGTCCACTGTGTATGGCAGGGAGCTGAATGTCGGTTGGGAGAGTGGTTTGGAGGGCAGTTGTGGGATGTAAGGTGGTCTCCACAGGGACTGGACTGGTATTTGGCCAGGTGAGGTGATACCTGTAGGCATGTTAAATATGACAGTAATTAACTAGCTCCAGTCAAAGTTATGAACTCGTATTTAATGAAAAACCCCAATCTTTGCTAAAAGCAACAAAAAATGCAAAAAATTAAGAATTCAATTTAGTTTGACTTTTTCAAATTTGAGGTTTTGTCATATTGACTAGTTTTTTTTATAAATGCCATGGTGTTTTACATTTTATCAGAGCCCTTTCAATTCTTGAGTGGCATTTGCCTTTCCAGAGACATTGTGAAATTTTTAATAAGGCAATGCAAAAGCACATTCTCCACACCTTAACCTTTTAGTGTCCTCACAGAGCAAAATAAATTAATCAATTATAAGCCTGTGATGCAAATGTAGATATTTAGTTAACAAGAAAAACTTGAAAAAAATCTGGAACTTTAGTTTGTTTTTCTTTCCTTTTTTTCGTCAAATTGTCCACCGTCTAAATCATTACTACATTTGAGTTGCACTCAACTTGACAACTTACACACAGAAAACGTGTATATTTCAGTTCTACAGATAGGACACTGTCTTCATTTTTAAGGATGTCAGCAAGACAACTTTACATCATCAAACGTAAAACAAAGATTGCAAATACTTAACATGTTACCTGCAGGTGACCTCAGAGATTGAGATTCCCTTGGAGCAGGCCTCGGCATCCATGTAGCACTTGTTATAATAGGTCATGCCGTCAGAGGCACATGTGAAGTGGGGTTCTCTCTCACAGCGGTCTCGGCACTTACAAACAGGCTGGCCGTCCCAGATGTCACACTCAGAGCCCTGCTGGGAGCACATGAACTTGTCGCAGGTGGCACCCTTTGGCATTCCGATAGGACCCTTGTTGCCCTTGATGTCTATGTAGCGCGCCGCCACGCAGCTCTTATTACCACACACATTGGGGCAACACTTCTCAAACGTCTCGCAGTCCTAAAGTTTGGAAAAGAGAAGCAGCGTATTTGTTCAGCTGGACAGCAGAAACCCAATCTCTTCAAAGGGAAACATCTGTATTTTTCCCTTGTGTTAAATGAATGTCGTGGGGCTTATTTAAAAAAATGCCTTTATGTCTGGATCAGGTTTGTGTCTGAAGAGGAATAACAGGAATAGGTACGATCTGACACTTATGACACTGTTATTTCCCAATTCAAAACACAAACTAAAAAGTTTGATTACAAAAAAACGTTAATCCTGCACATGTGACCTTTCACAAGTACCCCCTAACCAATCCTTTCACACATCATGGCTATACAAAGGACTTTACGCAGATATATAGAGGTAATATGGCATTAACTGCAGTCACTAGAGCCTGCAGGACACCGACAGGAGGACTCACCTGGTCAGATTCGCACTCGCGCATGCAGGTGCTCATAGCATCCACCCACAGGTTGGGGTTCAGATCATTCGGACACATACCTGCGTGAGAGTACACCAACTTTGCCACCGACATCATGGGCATTGCTCTCACGCGGCAGCTGTCCATACAAAGGAATATAGTGTAACACTGCCCGAGAAGAAACCAAATCCATCGGGGAAACAGCATCCACCACATGTTGCACCAGGACAAGCGCAAAATAGCTGAAAACCAACTTATATATATATATGAAAAAACCCGATAAAAAGCTTTCGGCCTATCCACAGTCGCGCAATAAGCTTCTTTAGCACTCGTGTCAGATGAAACAGCGTGCGTACTGGCCCGGTCCCGATCTGGAAGAGCTGTCCAGGTTAGTTGCTCCGCGTTATGAGTTGGGCTGCGCAAACCCCCTTTCGGGTCTGAGCAACATGAATTACAGTGTCCTGTCTACTCCGAAAGCGAATCCCAGCTGAGTTACAGTCATGATCAACTTAATTAAAAAGAGAGAGAAAAAAAAAAAGTTCTCCGGCTGGTTGCAGGGGTTGTTTCATAAAGGAACTGAGGAGACACCTGTGCGTCAGGCGCCGGCAGCCTTAACCCTTCACTTCCAACGCGGGCGCCTGAAAGTCCACTCATCTCCCCCTCCCACACTTTTAAAATAGTGTTTTTAGACTTGTGGATTAAACCTACAAATTACAACATCTACATGCGATAGATTTTTTCTATACACAGACAACCACTTAAGTGATAAGTCATTTAAAAAAAAATCTAATTCTAATCTAAAAGATCAAAACTGCAGAGGCAATATTTAGCTGGATACATATATATGTATAGATATATACATATATATTTATTTCGTCTCGTTGTATTTGTGAAGGATATTAAATAAATGCCTTACAAATTATTGTTCTGTATACTTGAAGAATTTCTCCAGGAACATTTCTGCTACCTGGCTGAACAGAACATTTCCAGGAGATGGCAGCAAACTCAGGATGTACTGGACTTCCCTCTAGTATGACCTCTGTACTAGAAAAGGAAAATCTCTATATAAGGTGTTTTTCCCCCCACAGTGATTGGTCTTTGCTGGTCATATTGTATTTATGCGCATGACTTCAAAATAAAAAGAACATCGGCAGCTGAACTTTGCAGGTGATAGCAAACGGGTCCCATATCAGCCACTTCTTTGAACTGAACTGCTTTTCAGCAGTAACATTTCAGGTATCAACATCTCCTGCATTTTGTACTTAATTGGTTCATGATTTAACTATATACACTTGGCAGGACCACATATTAAAGACATTTGAGGTGAAGTGTGGCTGATTCTGGAGTTTTCCAACAGTTTTGGTTTTAATTACGATTCCTTGAGCTGCTCTTTGTGTTCATTTGTTGTATGTGTTAGGGAGTTGTTGCATTCTGAAGTGCATCCTCTGCAGAAAAAATGCTGCGACAGGAAGAAACTTAAACAGGGAACAATGGTGTAAGCCACAGAAAAAACGCAGCACACATGGCTGCTAACACAATATTGACTCGCAAGAAGTCCCAAGTAGTACAGACAGCTTGAAATCATGCTGTGAAAACTATGCTTTTCCCGAAGAGGAAATTCCAGGAAGTGCGGCAGAGGAAAGGGTTTTGAAACAAAACAAAAAGGCCCGTGGTGATGTGTTCAGTGTAAACACAACAGAAAGAAAAATAATTCTTTAAATTCAATCCAACCGTGACGCTCTCTGTGCCTTGCCTTGATGTTAAGACGCTGGCCTTTTTCTATATTTAGAAGATCCAGATTTTTATTTCTGAGTTTCTGTGTGTGTGTGTCGATTGTGTGAGGGTATGAGCAGTGTTATAGACTCTCTGCTTCCCAAGCTGAGTCCCTGCTGAGCTTAATGAGGCCCCACCGCTCTTCAGGCCAGTCTGGTCTGCTGTCTGTGAACCCTCCCTGACAGCCCTTATATTTACATAGAGGAGTACACGGTAAATGCAGGGGGGAAAGGACGGATTAATGAGCGGTGGAGGCCAAATATATCCAGGGATTTCATTAAAACAAAAGTGCACTTATGCTTATGGACAAAGGTTCAGGCGAAGGCAAAAAGGGAAAAAAAGTGTCAAGCTGTGTTTGCACTGTCTGCTCACCCAAACTCCACCCACTCAGCCCCCTCCCCTAACCATCACCCCTCAAGACCCTACATTCCCAGCATAGTCAGCACTGGGGCTACAGGGTATGTCAGATATTGAAGAGAGCCACACAGAGGACCCCATGCAGGGCACCCGGCCACTTTATCTGCTCCCAGCACATTATCTGCAAACAGACCTTGACTTTGACTTCTGCACTTTGTGAACCTTTACAACTTCCGAGGTGTCCATCTTTTTTGTGTAGCAGATCAAATCTTTTGGGTGATTTCATGTCGTTTCCGTTCCACTGGAATGCTGTGCAATAACCTGCCATTCAGATTCATCGACACAGTGGGGCATCAGATTGGAAGAATGTAAATATTTCTACAGTGTACAAGTGACCTTTGGTCACCAGCTTGAGGGAATTACATTTCTTTTCTGTATGCAGCAGCTTCTATCTCTAAAAGTTGGCGAGTTTCCTTGCATGAACTGTGGCTCCAGAGCCTTACACCACATTAAAGAAAATGCTGCATCATTCCTCAAAATCATTGTCTTACGGACTTAACAGCATAAATATTGTTGGGTCGGTTTTGTGAACTGCAGACAGTCTTGGTTTGCCATTTCTTGGGGTCCAGCCTCAGATAAACTAAGCTTAACTGCTGCAGAACTAAAACACAAAGGCAGTTTTCTCCTCTTTCAGCAGACTTTTTATTAAGAGTTCAGACTAAAATGAGTTGACATATAAGATAAAAATCTGAGCAGATATTTGATTATTGTGTGTTAACTGTTGTTTCATGAACAATGATACATACAAAACTACAGTATTTGCTGGGATTGGTGCACAAACTATGCAAATAATCCACACCGACAAGTAGTTTTACCACATCATTCATAGATTTTTGGAAAAATAAGCAGCTCTGTATATTAGCTTTGTAAATGACCTGAAATGCCATTATGGAGGCGTGTACCTTGGAGTAACGTCGCCTTGTGCCTCCTGTTCTAAAAGGTTCTTAGGGGTTATTGACCACTCAGATCCGCAGCGTCTCCTGAATGTGATTGAGGCCTAGGAAGCTGGTCCGATACAATGACGGTGTTATGACTGTTCATACTAAGCTTATTAAAAGTGTCTCATTCCAGAACAAAGGAGAGAGACACGTCCAGCCACAGCATGGGCCTTAAGCTGATTCCTCAGCCTCAGTCTAGACATCCAACAAAGCACAGAAGTGAAAAAAGACAAAGAGGGGGGGGGGGGGGGATACATGCACAGATGAGCATCCAATAAAAATGTAGACATCATCATTGCCAGACAAAATTTGGTCTTTTTTTTTCCTTTTATATAAAACACACTTAGGTAAGATCCCACCACTTAGATTATGCAATATTTGTGTTGTCCAGATCACAGTGTCTGAACATCTGGTCACCACATGAACACCATTGTATTCATTACACTAAAGAGGTTAAAGATTTCACAGATACAAGAGCATCAGTATGACCATAACTTAAGTTATGTTTATGTTCTTTCGGTCAAAGAGGGAACATAACAAAACCTTACACGTTTTAACTTGATAACAGAATGTACAACACCGGTTGTTATGCAGATGCAGGTCAATAGTGGACAGACCAAATGGCCGGAAGAGGGTGCACAGATTTACGCAGTCCAGGAAACCTTTTTCAGATGATTTCAACACATAAAACATACATTTGTTGAAAATCTGTGTGAATATCTTTTTAATAACCTCTGGTGTTTGAAAGTGCACAATAAAGTTAACATTCATGTCATTTGGAATATATTTTTTTTAGAGTGAATGTTATGCATCTGAATCCAAATGAACGGACTGCCTACTATAGTCAATATCCTATATCTTTTTGGGTAATGTAGTCTCTTTAGTTGTTTTACCTGAATTGTTTCTTTGTCTCATGTCCCAGAATATCACATAAGTCATGATGTGCCTCCCCCATAAGAGAGGGTTCCATCCACTGGGCCGGCTCCATAGCTGGTGTGTTAGAAAACTCCAGTCGCAAACAGAATTCTGCACTTTATTAGGATCTGTGTGTAGAGACTAAATTCACAGTAAAAGCCACTGTCAAATTGCACCATTTTCTTATCTTCCATTTAAAAAAAATGACAACCTTCATGCAACAGGAGCTGAGATCAGATGGCGTCTGCACAGTGTACACTAAAAAGAATAGCAACTCTTCACAGCCAGACCAGTGCAGTGTCCTACATCTGAGCATTCTGAGCACTGAAAATGACATTTTCATTTGTCACTAATTATTTTGCACGATAAAATCTGTATTTAGTCCTGCGACCTGCTGGCCTCATCACTGGCTCCCACCCAAAATGCTGAAAACCTGGAAAACAGAAGTGACTACAACCTCAGAAAGACAAAGAACGGCTCAGTATCGAAGCAACTGGTTTGGAGAAGAGAAAACTGCCTTCTTTTTAAACCGTTTTGAAGCTCATCAGGTGCAAATATCTACCCATGTTCTCCCTCTAGTGGCTGTAAGCTGAACTGTATGAGCAGTAATAGGATGAGCAGGCCTCTAAGCATGAGTGAACAGCCATTTGATTTGAAAATGAGTTAACTACAAAGAGAGAAAGAAATTACTCAAGATATCATATGAATTACGGTAAATAATGGTCCAATGTGTGTTTGCTTGTATAAGACACTTGTAAATTTCAAGAAAATATAAAAAAGGAAAAATAAATCAAGTCATATACCATGCTTTATCAAAGAACAGGTAGAGGTCTTCAGAACAAAAACATCACAATTCTAACAGTGCCTATAATTATTTTTGCACGTACACATGGCCTACTGTATATAAAAATATCAGACTCTGAATGCATAGGTTAATTCAAACTGTATTCTGCTTTTTCTGGAACAATAAGCAAACCTACAAACGTAATGTAGGCATCTCCTTTCACAGAATCAAATAACCTACAGAAACCATTGCAAACATGCAGCTTCTATCCCAAAATGGCACAGGGCTTTTTTCTTTTTTTTGACACTTTCAATCAAAATCCATACCTTACATGTGTCACAACTTTGCTCCACAACGCAATTCCAGTTGCAGGACACATTAAATTGGTTCTTTGCTTTTCCCATACGCTCAAATGCCCTCTTTTGGCCCTCACATTGCACTTTAACAAAAGCATCTTCAACTCACCGCTGTTAAACAGTTGCACAACAGTAGACTTTAATCAGTCTCTAATCAGCCTAGCTGATTAGAGAAAAATGAACGTTAGTCAAAAAAAGAACAACTAAAAAATAGAGTAAGAGCCTCCGGTTTACAGTAAACACTTACCATTGGGTAAGATACTGATTGTGATGTCCACCTGCTGCTGTGTTGGACAGAAGTGGGCCCCAGCATTTATGAAAGCAGCATAAACAACATAATCACCTACCAGAATGTGACTGTGCCTCTTAACTAGTTAAAGGATTTATTTGACCGTTAGTGTGAAAAGCCATCATGTCAGTTAGGTCTCTGGTGAGATACTTTGGCTACCAATTAGAAAACATTAACAAAAGTTTAAAAGTTACTTAAATTATATCTTTAAACAAGTATACACAAGGGTAGCCTTGAATAGCGACTGATATGCAGCGTGTATATGTTTCGATGTGACACACAGTACACAAGAGAAAAGGAAGCCGATGCTTACAAAACTGTAGGAAGAACAAGGAAGCCCACAGTCATAGAACTAAGATCAGTGTGGACTTTGCCATCTCTCGTCTCGTTTAGGAGCAAAGAAAAAAAACAAACAGTCAAATGAAATGAAAGAGCTGCGTTCTTTCCAAAAGCAATACAGGTTTTGCTCTAAAGTTAGTGTCTTTGCTGGCTAGGCGACTTTTTGGTCTTGCTTCTAATCAAAGTTAAACTAATTGAATCCTCAAACAGAACATTTCCCGGTTCACTTCATTAGTAAGAATCAACATGACTCAAAAATACATATGAATACCTCACATTTGACATCAGACTTGACCGTTTCTAGAATGTGAGAGGGAAACTTCAGGTTACATAATTGTTATCTCATTTGTCTCATGAAAAAACAAAAACAAAAACACAGAAAGACAGATATTATGACATAACTTGTTCTTTCCTCACCATACTCTATGACAGACCCGATTTTAAATGCAAAGAATCATGTACTTCTTCTCAACTGTGTCCATCTGTGTGGGCATACATATTAAAGCACACTGTATGTGTTCAGCTGATAAAAGTACTTTGAGTTCAAAAGACGACAGCATCTCAACTGGCTTGAGATTGGATCCACCTTAAGAATTAGGCTAACAACAGATACCCTTTGCAAGAAAAGACACTAAGGTTTATGCCAAGAGCATGTAGAAAAGTGTGTACACAGATGATATTCTAATATTACTCTGTAGGTCAATTTGTTATAAATCTGAGTTGCTGTGTGCACGTTCGCTGTGGAGCAAACTGTCCTGCGCTGTGGATTGATGATTAGCTTATCAGCAGGAGTTAGGTAAATCCTTCCTGATGTCCTCTGCTCTCGGTCCTAACTCCATTTTCCTATTCGACCGTAGTCCACGGCCAGTGTCAAAATGTGTCCACATAAGGCGACTGAAGAATCCCATTTGAGTCCAGCCCATTAGGAAGACAAGCCAACGTCCCCCTCTGTTTACCCACTGGAGCCTTGGCACAAAGTACAGTGGGGAAAAAGGGTTTTTAAGAGAGGAGAGAAGGGGTCAATACTTTCACAAATAATTGAGGATACCATGCATCAGTAATTGCTTGGAACTCATTGGATACACTAAAGCAGCAGGAGGGCCAGAGGAGGACAAAGCTACAGTTGAAAAAACTAATCCCAGCTGGGAAATTGGTAAAACACCAAAGCTGAACAAAGCTGAAACAAGGAACCTGGGCAGGCAACTAGTTGAGGCTGCTTGTGGATAGCTACAGGAGCCCATCGTTATCAGGGAGACCTCAGGGTACGTGGTACGTTAGTAGGTGAGGCGGGAGGCCTTCATGTTGTAGCAGGGTCTGTCTGTTAGGCCCCCCGCCCCGGAAAAGAGGGACAGACCTTCTGCTTTCTCCAAAACAACCTCCAGCTCCTGAAAGTCCTGCAGACGGGCCACATCCTTGTCCTGGACAAAAAGGTACACAACACATTGGAGCAGCAAATTGTACAACCTCTTAAGTTTAACTGAAAACAAAACATTGAGTTTTCTGCAATTTGGGAGGGGGGGAGGGTGGGTAGGTGGATGGGGGCTTCTTGACCATACCTTTCTCAACATGGTGTTTGGCAGCTTGCGAATCTTCTCCACGTGCTCAGCACTGATGTCCAGCTCACGGCAACAGACTCTTAGCAGGGAGCGGTAGGTGAGCTCCTGACGATCCAGCTCCACCTCAATAAAGTCATTCTCTCGTGCGTTGGGGTTCTGGATCCGAACCTTCAGCACCAGCTCTAGTGAAGAGGGACAGAGAGACTTCTTTGTTAACTACACTGACGTGTTCCTTTAGGGGATGATCAGCATTGTGCCAGAGGAGTTCCACTATAAGAAAACATATATATTGTTTTTTTTAATCCAAGGAATGTTGTGTGCCTGAATGAACTCACAAATATTTGTTTTTCCTTTAAAGAAGCTCTAAGAGTGCAGTCATTTCAGCAAGTGATGCCCCACTCATTAAAAAAAATATTCTGTTGCCATGCTGCAACAAGTGGGAATGGCATTATGGCATTCTCATTTCTTGAAAATAATCTGGTGGCATAACGATACACAGGATAACCCTTTCTGCCTATTTCGGTCTCCGCTGCAGGTTTAAAATCAATGTTAGATTTAGTTAAGCTGCGTATCTTCACTTTGACTCAGAAAGGTTCCATCATTCTGAACGGACTGACCTTGTACATTGACAGGGAAGGTGCTGGTGAAGAAGAAGGGCTGAAAGGCCGGCATGGGCCCGTTGGTCTGGCTGTAGCTCAGCTGCTGTGGAATAGACTGCTGCCGGCTCACAGCCGGGTTGGTGCCGGCCACTGGGGCTGCAACCTGGCTGCTGCTGTTGCTCGCCAAGTTGGGACACGGTGAAGTCAACGGAGGCGAACGTATGTGGCCATTATGTGCTGGTGCGTGAGGGTAGTCGGCGTGGCTGACCAAGTGAGACTCAACTGACAGGTCCATTGGCACTGGGCAGTTAACAACAGTGTGACTGTGGGATGAGACCGAGCTGGACGAGGCACCGTTCTGCTCAGATAGAGGAATGAATTCTTCAGCCGGGGCTTGACTGTTGTTCACGCTGTGATTTGAGGGAGTGGTGGGGCCATCGGAAACCAGACTCTGTGATTTCTGAAGCTCCTCTGTTGGGGAGAGGGAGGCTGAGTCACTCTCTGTGTCTTCAGCGTGATCTCCAGAGCCATTGTGTGTGAGGTGGTGGGCATGGATGATGTCCGACTTGTTGTCCATCTTGGAATACATGAAGGGCGGGTTGGACAGGTAATTTGGGATGATTGGCAACTCAGGCTCTTTGTCCTCAGGCACTTCCTCCACCTCAACTGGAACAGTTAAATACATAGACAATTGTCATTTATAAGCACAGAATCACACAGCTTTTCCAAGCTGATAGAAGAAATAAACTGGCAATCATATCTGAATATGCTAATTTATGAATAATAAACTAAGAGAGAGGAAAAATGTATGCAATATGCATTGACAAGGAGGCTAAAAAAAGTGTATCTTACCTCCTAAAAGTCGCTTGATCTCTGGTTTGGATGTTAACTGTGAGGCTAACTCATCTTTTGCTGTGAGGATTTCCTTGTCTGCTCCACAACTGAGTAGGTAGGACACTATTTGTTTATGGTTCCTCTTGCAAGCCCAGTGAAGGCACGTCCTGATTTCAGTATTAGAGTGAGAAATTGGTCAATATTAAAACTACAACAAAAAAACATATGGACATAACCTGTTTCAGCATAATTAGATCAATCTAACAGGTTGCAGATTTAAACTTCTATGTTTCTGGCATTTACTATCAAAGCATTTTTGGCATCGTGTCACTAGCATTAGAAAGACACAAAAAAAACTTTTAGTTAGAAACCGAGACTAACTTCCAGTTTAATATTAAATCGGCAAAAGTAGCCAGAATGGCTGATGACCAGCTCTGCTGCGTGTCCCGTAATAGGATCATGCTGAGCAGTTTAATCCCTGTTGCTCCGCACTTTGTTCAGCGATTTCTCATAACGTCCAATCGCGATAGACAGTTATCGTTTTTCAGGAACACTTACCATCCATTGATTTCGTTTTGTGAGTTAACGTTCACCCCACTCTCCACTAACGACCGCACTTCGTCGATATCTCCGATGGCAGACGCCTCTCTCAGCCGCTCCTGTAATTCTTTATCCAACGAAGTCGTGGACATTTTGACAAGGGCTGCCAACGATTATCATAAGACACCCAAATGCCTCTCAATTGAATTAAGTTTCAAGTGTGCACTGCAGATTTTCCAGCTGATGGCATACAAGTCCACTAGAATTAGACTTCAGCTAACATTAGCTACCCAGGCTAATAATACCTGCTAGCTTGTCGAGGAGCTAGCATGTGGCAGCAAAGGCTCTAGTCAATCGGACTCCCTAATGACGGTTTGTTAGCGCAAGTCTTATATTTTACATTAATGTTTGTTTCCAGTTCGCGTTACTGTGCCACTGCCATCCCCCAGCACACTCATTCAATCAAAATGAAGTGACAGCTCAGTGCTCCGTAGGTGTGCTGTCAAAAACACCACCGCCTCGTTAGGGGGGAACGTTAAAATGTGACAACAGCGCGCTGCGCACAAACGTTGGTTCCCTACTCAATGCTCCTTGTCAGAATACACGTTTTTTCCAACTTTGCTTTGCATCGAATAATGCAACGCTGTATAGTCTGTTGTTTTAATATTTCCAAGCAAATCGACAATATACAATATAAAAAGTTACGTTATTAACCAGCACGTGTTGCAGGTCTACCAATCACCGCTGTTGTGGCATGAACCACCACCAAGGGGAGTTACACATATTAAAGTTTCATTTAATAAAGTTGTATGTAAATCAGTCCCTGTATCAATAACTAATTTATTTTTCATACCAATACCATAAAAAAATGCAACCATCGCAATTAAAAACTTTTATCACCACCGAACACGCTATTAGGCTAGTAATATACGTCTGCAACTATAACTGTTTGCTTATTCTGTATTTACAACTTTTTTAATAATCCTTCACAACTTGCAGCAATACAAACTTCAGTCATGTTACTTTTGCTGAAATAGGAGCTCTTATTCAGAAAGTCTTCCAATTGATTCTAAATAGAATTAAAAAAAAATAATCCACAAATCATACACAATGCCAACATGCACAATTAAAATACTCCCAAACAAGAAAATTTGCTATGTTAGGCTAAATAAATCTTAACAAAAAGACGCACAAGAGGCTACAAATACAAAACCAACAAAAGCAAAAATAAGTATTTCACAGTTCGGATGAAAATTAATAAAAAAGCGAAAAGATTAATCCAAAAGAGCAATGAATACATCCAGGATTGAACATTTTGCTGCTGGGGTGGTACAACTCGCCGGCTTATGCTTCCGGGTCACACGCGCATGGAGCTCTTCGAAGTTGGAACGTGAGCGGGCGTTGTTGTCACAGCGTCTGCCATTTTGATTAGATATACTTTGCGCAGTATTTGGTGTGAACTGGTACTTCAAATTATTTAGCAGTTATTTAAATCAAGGCTACGTGGTATCGGGGCAAACATGCTTTCCGCCGCCCAATTACTCGATGAGTTAATGGGCCGAGACAGAAACTTGGCCCCTGACGAGAAGCGATCCAACGTACGATGGGACGACGAGAGCGTAAGTTAGCATTAGACGTTAGCCTTGATAGTGCGATTAAGCGTACATGATGTAATTGTTGTATGCTGCCTAAAATCTCATAGTATATCTTCTGGAAGTCTTCCGACTTAAGCCATCGACCAGTAGTTAAAATATAATTGAACACACTGGGTTTTCGGCCACTTTGGGTGTCATTCTGTTCCACGCGTTAGCAGAGTTAGCATAACTATGTTAGCTATCTGGCTATATAAATGGATTAGCATAAAGCGTGCCCACGCTCTGGGCTACGGCGAGCGCACACTTCGTGTATGTGGTTCGGGTTTTTTTAAGTAGGATTTCTGAATGAATATTACCTTTACAGATAAACTTATATACAGTAACGACTATATGTTTAGGAACTCGCCTTGTTTTTCTGGGGTTAATCATACCATATTTGTTTCACTGTAAACCCTTATGAGTCTTGATAATGTGCTCACTCAATGTTCGAATCCACATTTTGCCCTGGCAACACATACGATATAAAGTCAAATAAATGTGATACTTAGCCATTAAATATATTTAAAAACGGAAGGGCTTTTTGATTCTTCCCTATGGTAGTTCATACCAAGTTTGAACTGCTTGACAGTGTTGGAGAGGTCTGCAGAAGAATGAATAAAGAAGAAAGCATATTTTCACTGTGCCATTTTGTTTTTATTCCCAAGGTGTGTAGATACTATCTATGTGGCTTCTGTCCAGCCGAGCTATTCACCAACACACGCTCTGACTTGGGTAAGCAGACCTTTTGGATCATCCATAGATAAACGTGTTTGTGTACAGTAGTGGCTGTCAGATCCATGTATTTCATGGAGATTTATCAATTATTCCCATACTGTTTTCAGGTCCTTGTGAAAAAATCCATGATGAAAATCTTAGAAAACTGTAAGTACTAATAAGTTATGTTTTTTTTGTTGCTTTTTTACTTTTTTAAAAAGAAATAATGTCTGTATGTTTTTTTTTTCCAATAACAAATACTTAAATTTATCCTAGGTATGAGAAAAGCTCTCGGTTTATGAAAGAGGGCTATGAGCGAGACTTCCTGCGCTATCTGCAGTCACTCCTGGCAGAAGTGGAGCGGAGGATTCGTAGGGGGCACGCCCGGCTTGCACTTTCCCAAGCCCAACAGAATGCAGGGGTTTGTACCACGGTTTGGAAACATTATTTTGTTCACAAAACCAATATAAAGCAATATAAAGCCTAAACAATGAGAACTGTGGATGAGATATGTTTTGCTTCTCACTGTAGGGACCTGGTCCATCAGGAAAGAATGAAGAGAAGGCCCAAGTTCTAACAGAGAAAATTGAGGACCTGGTTGTCCAGGTTTGTAATAGATATTTTGTAAGAAGTCTATAGATGCAATGGTACATTTACCAGCATTTACCCTTGCTATTTTCCAGCTTCTTAACACTGCTGGCACTTCACCTTAGTTTGGTGAATGATACACCTTCAGATGTTCTGTTTTGAGATAAATGCAACAAAGCATGTTTTTTTTAAATTTTGTTCTCAGATTGAGGAGTTGGGATCAGAGGGCCGCGTGGAGGAAGCCCAGGGAATGATGAAGCTGGTGGAGCAGCTGAAGGAGGAGAGGGAGCTTCTCAGCTCCACCCCCTCGGTGAGTCAGCTTGGTTAATCGGCCTATGGTCACTGCCCAAAGATAGAAGGTGCTGCTGCTCTAATGCTGCATGTACACTAACACATGGCTTTGTGCTGTCATGACTTGTCTTTTCAAATTCAAACAATTTAACCTTTGAACTTCATGTAGAAAACAAATTCTAAAAGGAAGATCAATGTGATCTTTTGAGCTGCTCAAAAACACTATTGATTTGATTAATAATTTGATTAAAAATTGTTCTTATATTCAGACTATTGAGAGCTTTGCTGCACAGGAGAAACAGATGGAGGTGTGTGAGGTGTGCGGGGCCTTCCTCATTGTGGGTGATGCACAGTCCCGAGTGGATGACCACTTGATGGGCAAGCAGCACATGGGCTACGCCAAGATCAAATCTACCGTAGAGGAGCTTAAGGTAGTGCACTCATCCAGCACGCACGTGTTTCAGGAAAGCATAAATCAATTGGCCTCTTTCAGTGGTTTTATGAAGAGTGGTTTTTATTTCCAGGAAAAACTGCGTAGACGCTCTGAGGACCCTCAAGGCGAGAATCCAGCGCTCAAACGAGACAGAGAAGAGCGGGAGAAGGAGAGGGAGGAGCGGGACAAAAAGCGCAAAGAGGAGGAGGAGAAGGAGAAAGAGCGTGAGAAGGAGAAGGAACGAGAGAAGGAGAGGGAACGAGAGCGTGAAAGAGAGAGGGACAGAGAACGGGAGCGAGAGAAGGAGAGGGAGAGGGACAGGAGGGCACGCCGAAGCCACTCCAACAGCCGTCACTCCAGCCGGGCCTCGGACAGGAAGCGCAGCAGGTCACGTGACCGCCGGCGCTCCAGGAGCAGAGATAAGGACCGGGACAGGGAGCGCAAACGCAGCAGGTGCTGAGGACTGTGAAATATATGCAACTGTGACTGTAATGCATTCAGTGTTCAGAATAGTGTGACTTCCTTCCTCTTATTGCTGCAAATACAATCATTAATCAAAATGTGTACAAAAAATATGAATAGCCTGTTCCTGAAAAGGTGGTTGGGGACTTTTTGGTTCTCGATGAGAATATTTGGGATTCCTCTGTTCAGGAGCCGGGACAGGGAGAGGAGGCGCAGCCGCGAGCGCTCGGACAGAAAACGCCGCTCTCGCAGTCGTGACAGAAAGAGGTCACGCAGCTCAGACCGAAAGGCCCACCGCCACCGCAGTCGAAGCCGTAGCAAGGACAGAGATAGAGGAAAGGAAAAAGACAAGGAGCGGTCATCAAAAGACAAAGGTAAGGACCCCCTTCGTCCGGCTCTGCTGATGGCGGGACCGCAGCGCTCAGACTCTGGCTCGTGTCTTCTCAGACCGTAAGACGACAGAGGAGAAGAGCAGCTCTAAGAAAGACAAGCACGCTGACAGAGATGCAGCTGCCGTCAAGGCTTCATCGGAGGCAGAACCGATGCAGACTGAGGCGGCTGCCTCCTCCCCTCTGCTTAACGGCCAGCAAGAGCTCCTCCATTCTGAAGGTGACACTCAGTCCAATTAAAACTGATCTGATAGGACCTCAGATCAGACTCAGGTAAGTGCGTCCTCCTCTTCGCTGCCCCTGGCTCTTAATCCCTTCCTCCTCCTACCCTCCCACTGCCCTTTACCCTCCTCTTCCTCCCTGTTTTTGTTCAGTTCAATGCCTATGATTTTGTCTTATGTACTGTATGCAAATATCTTTATCCTGTTTTTGATTAGTGCATCGTAAGTATGCACTGAAGATGAAGAACTAGGCCCGATGAATGAGAAGAAGGTAGAAAACATTCACACAAAGCCAAGAGGGAAAGGCCAGTGTAGCCCTGAGCAAACATGCCCGGAGGTACCCCTCATTTTGTATCGGTTTTTGATCCTTTTAGTTGTATCTTTCACTTTTGTGGACAAGGTGGCAGGAAAAAAACAAAAAAAAAACACGGTAACTACTCAAGTCAAATTTTTCCTGCTTTTATTTATATATTTTGAGTTCCTACATTTCTTTTATTACTTTGAAACAGGAAAAATGTTTTAACTGTTTGACATATCACTTTCCATTCAGGGAAGAACTTTAGCAACTGTGTGTCTACATGTTTGTGTAAGTGTCTATAAACACACAGACACACGTTTAGCATTGGGTGTATGTGACAAACAAGCCATTTCTTTTGCCATAATCATAACTCAAATGCAATGGATTTGTTGTCCAGCTTACTGTGCCTGATAATGCCATGCACTGTGTGTGTTGGGGGGTGTTATAGCACCTAATGTCACTAACTAACTGGAGGGTAGGGTTTATCGAATGAATTGCAGCTGACTTCCATACCTCACACAGCGTTGGTGTTGTGAGCGAGACCACATGAGAAAAAGGGCAAATTAAAAATCATGGATACTCTCTGACTGTCAAACTGTGCAGGTACTCACCCCAGGTACTCCTTTCTCTACCCACATCCATTTCTGAATGCTGTTGCCTGTCAGAAAAGCAAATGTGCAGCGCTAGTAAATGAATTTGAAAGCTCGATTGTGTGTACATTTTTATTGTGTTCTCTATGCTTGTGTATTTGGTAAAATGCTGCGGGAGGGGAATCATTTCCTTGACTTAGAGACACAGACAGCCTTCTTGATATGCCTATGCCAATAGCTGAAAGCGTCACTGGCATCTCTTTCTGTTGGTAAAGTCCCATTACCTCTGGTGGGTTGTTAATGGGCGGGAAGCATTTTTATCATGAAACAATAGTCAAGTTTTCACTTTGGCAAAGGTAATATCAATTTGTTTTGACCCAAAAGTAGCAATTTGGATAAGTCCTAATGAGATCACGCAGAGGAGAAAAACATAGTAAAAAAGGACTGATGCCAGGGTCAAATTATAGTGAAGGCTTCAGTTGGCTGTAAATGTGAGTTTATTTTTTTACACTATTTGGCAGTGTCTCTTCAGGATCTGCATTTTCCTCAGTGGTAAACATGGACTAGTTGATGGTATACTTGCTCGTGTGGCAGCAGGAGTTGCTACAAGCCCGTGCTGTGGGACCTTTGCTAACATTTGAATCTTTGGCCGTCTTTGCTCAACAGGAGAAGCTGGGATATCTGGTGGAGGAAGAAGTGGAAGAGCGCACCCATCCTCTCCCTGAACCTGACACCCCGCTGCTTAAAAACAAGGTGAACCACAAATGTGTAGTGGCTTATTTAAGAAATGAACATAAAGTGCACGTGTAAATGAGGAGAGAGGAACAACACAGTGTTTTTTCTGTTTGCTTTTTTTCCCTTGTTTTGTTAACTGTCAATCTTTTCGGTTGGACGAGGTTAGCTGTGGTTCATCTGATTTCCTTGTTAAGATGGCAGCCAGACATCAGTTTAATACCAAACTTCTTCATGGGTTTTTGTTTTCTTACTTTGACAAACCTTCCACATCCTCAGTGTTTATTGGCATAGTATCAATGAAATAAAAACAGTGCTTGTGGTTTGTATTGGTCTGTCAGGTTCTACTTCTTCCTGGCCTCCTTTTTTAAAGTCAGGCATATGTACTATGTAAGACGGGCAGCGTCTCTTTTCTCCCCCACTTAGAGCTCACATTGATTGCTCTTGTTCAGTAACTGTAAAATATTCTGATTTAAATTTGATCTAAAGTTTTGAAGACCCAAGATTTGTTTAAGTTTGCCTTGCTTTTAATGTCCATGTTGTCATGTTGAATAAAAAGTCAAATTTCATCATGATTTTGTTTTTGTTGTTGTTGTTGTGACTTTAGAAAAATTTCGAGCCCCTGAGAGAGAAGATGAATCCTGGTGAGAAACGGTTTTATGACAGCAAGGTTTGATGTGGCCTTATTCAGTGTACCTGAAGATGCAACAAACTTAACATATCGTAAAACAATGAAAGATACTAATTTTTTCTTATCAAAAAGTATAATGTGAAGAAATTCAGATTAAAAACTATTTGTAAGATGAACAGTAAAGACTGAAAAAAGCTGCTAGAACCAGAAAAGCATTTTGAAGATATGAATTTTAATAAACAAAAAAAAATCCAAATGAAAACATTTTGAAATTGCTGGTAAACAAGCATAGTAAAACTGTAATAAGTGAGACATGAAGACAATGTCAACAAAAGGAAAATCTTTATTTTCAGAATTATGGTAAAATTATTTCTCACATTCAGAAATAGATGATTTTGAACGGTTGGAAGTTTTGCAGTTTTTGTATGATGCTTTTTCCGGTTAGTACGAATAATGAAAATAGATCTAATAATAAAACAACTGAATAATTGAAAACAATGCTGAGTCAGTATTCTTGTGAGACAAAAATTTGCCAAATTAGTGGGAACACATTTTTAGCTGAAGTTTCAGAGGGATGCAGACCTGGCAGAAAGAGACCAGACCAACATGAAGCAACTGCTGTCTTTATTAGTCTGAAAACCTGTTTGCTCTCATCACTGCACTAAACCAAAAACTGAGTTTACGTGTTTTTTCATTAAAACTGAGAAAGTCTGGCAGTTTGGTTTGAACATCCCAGATGTCTAAAGGTTATATTTACTCAACCAAGTAAAGAGGAAACTTTTGAATGAGCAGAAGTTTAAAGTACTGTCATAACATAACAGCTAACCAGTGTACATAACTGAAATGATCTGATGTATTTACTATAACCACATTTATTCACTTATTTACATATATGCTCCCAACACTTCCCATATCAGAAGTCTTTGGTCTTTGACAGGCACGTGGTTTGGAACTGACCTTTCCAGTCCAGGTGCCCGTGGAGAGAGAAGTGAGAGAAGGTTACTGTTTCTCTGACCTTAATTACTGGTGACATGGCTGTGGGGACCATGTACAAGCTGCATGTTCTGCACATTCCGAATAGGCTCAAGTAAAACCAGGGGGAGACATTTTAATTATTTAGGGAGCAGAGGAAAGTGCAGCGGCATTGTTGCTATAGTTTCCAGCTCCGTGGGTTAGCTGGAAGCACTTGTGCTGCATTGTAATGTGACAATAACAACAGCTGCAGCACTTGAGATGTAACCTGCCATGATTTTTTATTTCCATCTCAACTGGGCCAGGATGGAACAAGTCAGAGAGTCCCGCCATCTTGAAACATTCGAGATCTTCCATAGATGATGTTGTGTGACGGCTCAGAAGGAGATGAGCTTCCTCTGCTGGAGTAAGATAGCTTGAGGCAACTTTCACGACGATGATGGGATTTCCTGGCTTGCACCCTCCTCAGATCATTGTGCCCTGAGGTTGGTTTATTTCCTACTGGTGCTTACTTCACTGTGTTTGACAGAGAATTCCAACACAGGATGTGGGAAGGTTATATTTCCTAAAGTAAGTGAAGAGGAAATTACTCCAGTTGTTTGGCCAATATGTTGCCAAAATTCAGTAGCTAATCCCATCACAATGAGGAATTCTTCATATTAGTCATAATGTTTCGAAAATTACACAACAATCTTTGGATTAAAAAGTAAATAATGTCAATTGCAGAGATTATAAATCTACAAATAAAGCAAAAATAGATTTAATGTGGGGCTAAAATAAAATTTCCACTGGCTGCTATGAAAAGCAAGACCGATCAAATCTGTCTACCAAAAGAGGTTCTGAAGGGCTAACATGAGGCCACAAAAAGCTATTTAGGTCCTTTGGTCCTCTCACTGAATATATTTTAACTGTTTTTGGATCTGTCAAATCACTGTAGTTCACTTTTTAAGCACACGGTTGTTTGAAGTTTTAAGTAATTTATTGTAGTTCTTGTTCCCCTGTAAATGATCATGCATTTAAAAAAGATCAAATTAGGTTTAAAGTATAAACAACAATCAACATTAACGGCTGGAAGTTGCTCCCAAGAAAAAATGGTCCTTTTATCACATTTATCGAGAGCATATTTTTCCTCTTTTTTTTTTACCCAAAGAAAACCTCTCATTGATGTGAACATAGATGTAATATTGCTTGAGTGCAGTTCAGTTGTTGAAAGTGTTTGAAAACTGAGTGTTTTTTGAGAGTCTTGATTATAAGCTGCCCACCGCAGTGCCTCCCATCTTCACCACTTCTCCTGAACCTGTATTTGAGGCTTTGGATTTGAACCGCCAGAGGTGCAGAATCCCTTCAGGCGGTCCGTTTACTTTTGGTAACGCAAACCGAAAAATTTTGGGGGGATTTGAGAACCAAGTGCAGTGGTGATAATCCGCATGGCTCAGGGCTGGCTTCAAGATGCCCGAAGTCATGGCTGTCTGAATTTCATTTAATGTTTTAGGAGCAAACTGTCTGAAGAGGCATCCTGCTTTCTCGTATGCAGCTGCAGGGGGCGCTGCATATCTGTGTTCTGGCTGAGGCCGGCTGCAAAGCGACGCAGAGGCCCCACAGCAGAGCACACACACACACACACATGCGCCAGTCTTTGCATGCATGTTTTTTCAATAATCTGGGAGGAAACTTTTCGCTCATTTTTAAAACGGTATCGCTCTGTGCAACCAAATCTGAACATTTAATTTGAACCAAATTTCCTCAGGGTTTTGAGCCTCAGCTACGCAAGAGAAAAAAAAAAGGAAGTATCAGTGTGAAGATCGTGAGCTAGAGAGAGCAGCAGGGTTGAAAACATGACAGCAAAGGAATGAAAGGGAGAGAGGGTGGAAGCAGGAGGCTTCACGATTTGCTAAAATCCTGGCTTTGAAGGAATGATGGAGATAGATAATCTTCTGCTTTCTTTGCTTTTTCTCTGCATCACACAGACCGCCGCTGAGCATTCTGAGGTGAAAACAGCATGTAGGTGAGGCAGTGGAGGAGGCAGTTCATTTGTGTAGTTGTGCTTTTGTGATTAACAATTGAGACTGGAACACACGCTCATGTCAGCTGTCACTCAGCTTCTTATGAGGGGCTAGAATTTCCCCCTGAATGTGGGGTTGTTAGTGCTGTGCCTATTTTTGCCCTAGAAACAGGTTTGAGTCTTATTTCAGTTTACCGTTTCTCATAAAAGCATTTGTTGGGTTGGACATCTCCACGCTTTGCTGCATTTGACTCTAGGGTAAAAATAGATACCTTTTTAGATTTGATGCAACACACCTTTTAAAACTCTAGATTAGGACAAGATGCTGCCAACAAAATTAGCAGAATAAAGAACTATCTGATTAAAAGTCATGTCGTGTTATATGCACTTTTCACCAAAAGGTGTTTAAAAAAAAAAAAAGTTATTTGATTTATTTGTCATTTGAAATGGTTTAGACAAAGAAAAGTACCTTGGTGGCTCTTTTTTCTGAGCAGCTTTTAGTGACCTCATGAGAACATGTTGATCTTTCAAAGGGAGAGAGCACTCTGACTCCTTCAACTACATGTAAGACACAGACTGCTTATTAGAGGCTCAACCCCACTTAATAAAACATCTCTGTATGCAGCGACTACCACTATAAGGCTGACTTCTATTCCACACAGTTAGTCAGTTATTAACCGTAGCAGCAGCCTGCTCAGCTGAGTGACCAGAGGAAAAATTGGCAATATGTTTAATATAAACTATCATAAACCTTTTTTAAAACCTCTTTTATTTGAATATTTTCTTTGTACTTGAAACCACTTGGTTAAACTGAAGCTAGCACATCTTTTTATGTTGTTAAAAGTAGGAGAATTTTCAGGCGACAACATTCGTGCGACATGCAGCGAAAAGATGAACGAGAAAACGCTGCAACTTAAGGTTGTTCCCAGCTTGGTGGAGGTGAATTCAGTAGAAAAAGTGCAGCATTGGATAGAGAAGTGCCATTCCTAAAAGGCCAGAGCAAAAGACACATTCCATTTAAACAATGTTCTGCATGACACAGGCCTAAAGATTTAGCACTAATTTACGTTCATTCTGTCAGGTTGCACTTAAAACGGTAAAGATTCAGGATCCTGAAAACTGCTAACGGGAATGGAGCCTGGGTAAATCTGGCTTTTCTTTTGTTGCCTCAGCAGATGGCTCCAGAAGGAACAGTTCAGCAGCTTTCTTTCTGGGTCTCTTTCTGACCATTTCCTCCGCACTGTAGTTTTCGATTCCCCCTTTTCTCCTGCAGTGTTGGCAGTTCTGGCATTAGACGAGCCACCCAGAGCCAAAGAGGCAGCCAGTGAGTGTTTAAACCTCCCCGTGAGCATCGCAGTCCCTTTGTTGGATTATGTAAGTAACAAAACTCATGATGCAGTAAAAAAAAAAAATGGGAAGGAAAGGCAGTCTGTTTGAGACGGTGTTTTTATCTCCATTCCTAAATTTTCTGCTTTCTGATGAGCATTTCAATATACGACGATGACTAAAGGAAACGTCTGTGTTGTAATCGGCTCTGTTTAGTTGACTTTAGATCAGTCATTTTACACTGACCTCTCTGATAAGCATTGCTTCTTGTATATGTGTCAGTTCAGTACATTGCTTTTAGTCCACGCCTCCAGCCCAACACCCGTTCAGGATTTTATAGCACCCAACAGCCCAACCACCTGCCGGTGACACTCTGGTACAAAGTCTTCTGTGTGAAGCATAACCCGCCCCAAAAGGTATCTGTGGGCCACGCCTGGGAAGAAGCGCTCCTTGTGTCTGAGGTCCAAGTCAGCGCTGATGTACTTTACTTCTGACCTGAGTGAATGACACGTTTGCGGCCTAAGAGTTTCTCTGGTTCTTAGACTTCAGGCAAAAAAACCCCAAAGCTGGTTAACATCTGACTGATGTGTGTCAACACATCAGCAGATGGAAACTGCAATTAAAAAATGAGACTTTTTTTCACAATGTTAGAAAACACCCTGGGAAACTAGGGAAATATCATCCCATAAAGGCCAAGGGCAAAAAATACTGCTGGATGACCTGCAGGCCCTTGGGATGACACGCACGAGAGACCATTATGCTACAGGAATCAATATGGCCACACGGGCTCAGGGGGACCTTGACAAAACATTTCACTTATCACAGTACACTGGATCCAGGGGTGGACTGGATATATATATATGTCATCTAATTTATCTTTGAGCAATAACAGTTTATGCATGTGCGAGAGAGAGTGTTTAAACTAAATATCTGGCTGAGCTCATCCCAAATGTCTTAAGCTTTCCCTTCATTTGTCCTACTCAACAGCACACTCTGTTCCAGACAAACGCAGTCTGTTTACTAGTCTCTTGTTTTCTGAAAAATACTGACATCGCAGTCTTGGACATAATTTTTGTCCTTCACAGCACATGTTTA